AAGGTATCCAAAATAGGGCAGAAGAGATCAAACTTTCACTCTTTGCTGATGATATGATACTGTATCTAGAAAACCCCAAAGATTCAACCAAGAAACTCCTGGAACTGATCAATGATTTAGTAAAGTCTCAGGATACAAAATCAATACACAGAAATCAGAACATTCATATACGCCAACAAGTCAATTGTGAACCAAATCAAAGACTCAATTCCCTTCACAATAGCAATAAAGAAATTAAAGTACCTAGGAATATACTTAACAAGGAGGTAAAAGACCTCTACAGGGAGAACTATGAAACACTGAGGAAGGAAATAGCAGAGATGTAAACAGATGAATACCATACATGCTCGTGGTCAGGCAGACTCAACATCATCAAAATGTCTATACTACTCAAACTGATCTAAGATTCAATGCAATACTATATTAAAATCCCATCAGATTCTTCCAGATATAGAAAAAATAATTTATGCTTGTATCGAACAAAGAAGACCCCCGAATATCAAAAGCAGTTCTAGGCAACAAAACAAAATGGAGGATTAATATGCCAGATATCAAACATACTACAAAGCTTGTAGTAATTAAATCAATTAGTATTGCACAAAAATAGAATATTGACCAGTGGAACAGATCTGAGAATCCTGATATAAAACCATCCTCATATAGCCATCTAATCTTGGACAAAGCAGACAAAAACATACGCTGGGGAAAAGAATCCCTTTTCAATTAATGGTGCTGGGAAAACTGGATAGCCACCTGTAGAAGGCTAAAACAGGACCCACACCTTTCACCTCTCACAAAAACCAACTCACACTGGATAACAGACTTAAACCTAAGGTATGAACTATTAGAACTCTAGAGGAAAAAGTTGGAAACACTCTCCTAGACATGCCTAGGCAAGAGTTTATGAAGAAGTCCCCAAGGCAATCACAGCAGCAACAAAAATAATAAATGGGACGATGATCAAACTACAAAGCTTCTGCACAGCCATAGAAATAGTCATGAAAGTAAACAGACAACCTACAGAATGGGAGAAAATTTTTGCATCCTACGCATCCGATAAGGGACTGATAACTAGAATATACTTAGAACTCACAAACATCAGCAAGAAAAAATCAAATAACCCTATTAAAAAGTGGGCAAAGGACTTGAACAGAAACTTTTCTAAAGAAGACAGAAGAATGGCCAATAAACATATGAAAAAATGCTCAACATCTCTAATCATCAGGGAATATCAAATCAAAACCACAATGAGTATCACTTAACTCCAGTGAGAATGGCCTTTATCAAAAGTCTCCAAACAATAAATGCTGCGTGGTTGCGGAGAGAGAGGAACATCCTACACCTGCTGGTGGGACTGCAAACTAGTTCAACCTCTGGGAAAGCAATATGGAGATACCTTAAAGCGATACAAGTGAATCTACCATTTGATCAGCAATCCCATTGCTGGGCATCTACCCAAAAGATCCAATGACACTCTACAAAAAAAGACACCTGCACCTGAATGTTTATAGCAGCACAATTCATAATTGCAAGGCTGTGGAAACAGCCCAAGTGCCCATCAATCCAAGAATGGATTAATAAAATGTGGTATATGTATACCAATGGAGTACTATTCAGCTCTAAGAAACAACGGCGCTATAGCACATCTTATATTTCCTGGTTAGAGCTGGAACCCATACTACTAAGTGAAGTATCCCAAGACTGGAAAAACAAGCACCACATATATTCACCAGAAATTGGTATTAACGAGCAGCACCTTTTATGGAGATAAACTTTCCTCTCAGAACTGCTTTAGCTGTGTCCCAGAGGATTTGATAACTTGTCTCTCCATTGTTATTTTGTTCATAGAATTTTTTAATTTCCATCTTGATTTCTACATTTATGAAGTAATCATTTAGTAGTAGGTTGTTTAATTTCCACGTTTCTGTGTAGAAATGTGAGTTTCTGTTAGGGTTGATTTCTACTTTTATTCCATTGTGATCCGAGAAGATACATGGTATGATTTCTATTTTTTAAAATTTTTTGAAATTTACTTTTTGTCCTAGGATATGGTCAATCTTAGAGAATGTCCCGTGAGCTGATGAGAAGAACGTATATTCAGTGGATTTTGGGTAGAACGTCCTGTAGATGTCAGTCAGACCCAATTGTTCCAGAGTTTTGTTTTAGTCCATTTTTTCTTTATTAATTTTCTGTTTGGAGGATCTGTCTTGTGCTGTCAGCGGGGTGTTGAAATCTCCGGTAATTATGGAGTTGCTATTAATCAATTTGCTTAGATCCAGTAAGGTTTGCTTTATGAAACTGGGTGCACCTAAGTTGGGTGCATATATATTTAAAACTGTTATCTGTTCTAGTTTAACTGTGCCCTTCACCATTATATAATGACCCTCTTTGTCTTTCACTACTTTTGTTGGTTTAAAAACTGAATTGTCTGAAATTAGAACTGCCACGCCAGCCTTCTTTTGGCTTCCACTTGCCTAGAATACTGATCTCCACCCTTTTACTTTTAGTCTATAGGCATCCTTGCAGGTTAGATGTGTTTTCTGAAGACAGCATATACTTGGCCTGTATTTTCTTATCCATTCAGCCAGCCTGTGTCTCTTGAGTGGAAAGTTTAAGCCATTCACATTTGTTGAGAGAACTGATAGGTAAGGTAGATTACTGTTCATTCTGTTGGGTTAGATGTTGTTCCTTTGATTTCTCTCTTGAGCCATTGTATTATCTGGCCTTCAATCTTTGGGTTTGGTTGTTTTTACATTTGTGAGTTTTTATTATGGTGTTCTATGGGTAACACTGTTTTGAGTACTTCTTGTTGGGCTGGTCTTGTCTTGGTGAATTCTCTGAGACTTTTGAGTATGTGGTTGGTGGAGCGTTGTCTGAGAAGCTCTTATTTCTCCTTCATATATGAACTTAGTTTTGCAGGGAATACGATTCTAGGCTGGGCATTGTTTTGTTTCACAAGAGTGAGAGTGGGAGACTTTACAAGTCTCTCCTTGCTTGTAAAGTCTCATTAGAGAAGTCTTGTGTTATTCGAATGGCTTCTCTTGTATGTACTTGCTGTTTTCGTCTTCCAACTCTTAGAAGGCCCTCTTAGTTATATCTTGGTCAGTCGTGATGACTGCATGTCGGATGTCTTCCTGTTTGCATTGATCTCCCAGGGTCTCCTGAGCTTCTTGAACTTGTTATTCGAATTTGAGCAAGCCTGGAAATTTTCCCTATTAAGTTCGTCAAATAGCTTGTCCAACCCTTGAGTGTTGTCTCTTCCCCTTCTGGTAACCCTATGACCTCACATTAGTTTCTTCACATAATCTCCACATCTCTTGTAGGCTTTGCTCTTTTTCTTGTTTCTCTGCTCTATCTCTATGACTGTTTTATAGTTGGAGGTGTTATCTTCAATCTGTGAGATTCTTTCTTTGTTTGATCTACCTGTTTCGAGACTTACACTGTATTTTGTAGTTCCTTGAATTGATTCTTCATTTCCAAGGATTCGGTAAACTTTCTCATGTGTTCTATTCTTAGTGAACTTTGTTTCTAGGTCTGGAGCTTTTTGTTTTTTTGTGTGTTGGTTATTGAGTTATTCTTGCAAGTCGGTAAGTTTCTTATGATCCACATATGAAATTCCTTCTTCATTTTGTTTGTCTGATTGGGTTGGTGTCCGTTTCTAGGGGGCTGTGCTCCTCTTTGGGTGTGTTTTCCGTTTGGTTCTTCATTTCCTGATTCTTCGCTGATTTTTCCCATGTCGATCAGTTGTTGTTTCTTTCCTTTAGTTTTTTGGTATTCACACGCCTGTTTAGTTTCTGAGCCGGTAGGTGGTATCTGTGGTGAGATTGGACCACTCCCTGTATAATGAGTCAGTAGGTGATGTGAAGGGGTGCAGGATGCCCTCCCTGTCAGTAGGTGGCGCTTGCTTGAAGAACAGGCTACACTTGTTTTTGTGTCCTGTTATCAACTCTTGTTCTGTAGAGAGGCAATGTAGTGCCTCAGGTGGTCGGTGGGCCCTGGACATCTAGGTGTGTCCTTTCTCCCCTCAGTGAGGCTTGGCTGGGAGAGAGTCTGGGCGGAGCTGGGTTGGGTAAGCCTGCCCTCAGGCACCACCAATGCCCATTAGCAGGGGTCAAAGTTCTTTCTCTGCTTCAGGAAAAGCTGTCAGGGAGGGTGGAATGGCCTGGCTCAGTCAGAAGTCTGGCATGTGGACTTTAAGTGACTTATTTTGACTAATAAGTCCAAAATATGGTGGTTTATATACCTTTAAAAGTAATTACCTATATGAATTAAAAGATATAGTGGTCTTTTAAAATAGTATAGTCTTTCAGCTCTAGAAATATCTAAAAAGAAAATAAAAAATAAAAAAAATAAAAATAAAAATAAAATAGTATAGTCTCTTTCATGTTCCCTAAAGATTCCTTCCACCTTTTCTGTGGATTTATCATTATTTTCTTCTCTTCTTTCTTATCATGGTAAACTGGTGAAGATTAAATGATTGAAAAGAAGTGCTCTCTTGCCTTTGTTGCTCTGAGTAAACAGATTTAGGTAGAGCCATACTAATAGGTATAGTTACTCAGAGATTGAATTATATATTTTGAGCCTTTCTCTTCCATAGCATGAAGCCCTCTATGGTTTTAAGAAAATTTTTGTTGGAGTTTTGCTTACTTAAAATGCCTTATCATTTCCAGAAGAAGAAGGATCAAGGTTAAAACAGAGACTTAAATTATTTGTAGGCCAGGCACAGTGG